TAATAACACACTTCATTCATAATACTAGATTGTTTGACCACCCAACTAAACACTGCTGAGCATAATCTAAAGCACTTTTCATCTTTTATGGGCTATGCTCGTACATAGAGGTTTCTGCAGAGAAAGATTGCTTGAGTTTACAGAAATACAGTAAATGAAGAAATACAAATGAGTTGTTGAAAACAAATCACATTTTATTCAAAAACCACATTGTGCAACATGCATCTCAGCACATAGTTACTATGTGTGATTGTTTGCCAAAACCCAGTTTGTAACTGCTGCTTCCTGTGCCTCATTGAAAATCCTTGGCCTTCCACCTGCACCTCTTTGTTTCTCAGTCCTTCAGATAAACAACAAAGATATAGTGGATGTTCAGTGTCTGTGTTGCATACAAGTAAGTTTACCACAGTACATTGTGCAGGATTTTTGTACAGTTATAGTATGCAACATGCCAACAATTCAGTTACAGTAATGAAGTAAATACGTTTCACACAACAGATATAAGCACTGATATATCATGAATTATGTAGAGCTGAAAACTGGGAACTGTGTCCGGATTACAGAGGCAACAGTAAATCGGCTTAGATTAGGCTGAACCCTCTGTCTAGCCTCTCTCATCATCACACCATGGTTGATAACATTTCATTTCATTAGAGAGTATTCCTTCTTTGTCCACATCCTCTCCCTCCAGCTCTACCTCTCATTCTTCCTCCTCTCACTCTCACCCCACCTCTTCCTCCTCCTCTCACTCACAGCTCTGCTCTTCCTCTTGCATGTTGGCTTCCATTGTTACTGTAAGAAAGTACTCACCTGTGGTCTTTTTATAGTGCTAACATCCTGATTGATGAGCCAACTTGTTTGGTCAGGTGGAACGTGTTTCTTGATCATTGTTCCATGTGTGAGGCATTTTGAATGTCAGTGTTTTGAACCTGCTAACACGTGACCTTATGTCAGATTCCTGTGTCTTACGTGGAGAAACGTGTGCAGTGGTTTGCAAAAAGTGCCATATTGATTTTCAAATTGTGTGAAAAGCTGAAAACGTGTTTAGAGTTTTGGAGATTTGAGCCAATGTTTTGCTCTTTGAGTGTCAGTTAAAATAATTGTGCTATATGTATAATTTTATTGTGTTAGCAATCGAGAAAAACTGTAATCAAATGTTATTCATCGATTTTTAACTTGTATCTGTAAAGCACTCTACAAATCGAAATGTAAATGTATCCGTGTTCAAATATACCTTATGTAGGGAAAGAAAATGATATAACTTATTGTGTCTCAAATAAACAAGTAAGGCAGGCCAACCCAACCCAAACCACGGCTACAGACGGGGGCAACAGGGGGGTTCACGGTGACTGACCACAGAGAGACGGCTTAGAATTGGAGAATAAACATTGGGCGAGAAATTCAGTGTGCTTCATTTGATCTGCGTTTGAGGCACAGTGTTATGGCTATGGGTGCACTCTGCCTGGGATGGAGACAGCCTTGAAGCTGATTGGCCCACTCTTCTTCTTAGGGGTGCTCATGCACATGATTTGAAAGGAAAGCTGATGATTCACTCAGCCTTTATTCAAGAGCAAGTTTTAAACGGTGAAAACTTTCTTATGAAAGGAAGTGGTTAACGAGTGACTACACATAAGCAACTTTTATTCACCTGCAAAAGTCAAAGACTCCTTCTCAAGCACAGGATGAGAGCAGCTGGAAGAGCAGCTCACCGAATCCATGGAAGCCACTAGAAAGAAGTTCACTCATTCTCTCCATCACTGTCTCTCAGAACTTTTTTTATTTCCCATGCATAGTTTGAACAAGAGTGTAATGAAACTGAAATGAAATGGAAATAAAAGTTTTGACTTTCATTGTGATTCTTTCCATTATGATCAGAGGAATCAATAAGAAAACATGTCTTTACAACTAGATAAAAAAGGGTTCAACATCTTTCAGAAAATCCTTCAAGGTAACGCACTTTGGACGGACAAAGATCTTCATAACATAAATACATCACAAAAGTAAGTAAGTCCCTAAAACTAAAACATTCAGCACATTTTATACAACACAGTGCAAGTGCAGGATGATTTTCAAGCACTCACTTATTTCATTTGTGACTAACTGACATGACTTGTCTTCCTGCTTGTATATCTCCTTTTGAACTGAGGGATCAGCATATTGTAAACACTTAGTAGAATATGTGTCTGATACAGAGCTGCTTCAAACCACATCAGAGCAGGAAGTGAACCAAGAATCGGACTGTGATGAAAACATCCAACAATTTACATTTGGTTTCCAGTTTTGGAAAGGGGGTGATGGGGCGAATATCGTTCACTTCATGAGAAACTAACAGTGCCACATTCAACATTGCAACAATCTTGTTTGATTCTAATGTGAAATATTGTTGTGTTTACAGCTTGCTCTGGTGTCCCTTGGTGTACAAAAACAACATCAACTGGTATGACAATATTTCTCCCAACCATTTCTGTCAGGAGTGAAAACCAAATTAATTCAGCATCTGGATGCAATATTGGCAACATATATATATATATATATATGTATATTAAAAAAGATGTGGACTTTAAAAACATATGATGTCCCTTACTGGTAAGTTTGCATCAATATTTGAAAAAAAATAACATTTCACAGTTCTAACTAACACTGTATTAGCAGCAACAGCAGCAGCAGCAGCAGCAGCAGCAGCAGCATGGAACATGGCGTAAACTATGTGCACCACTGACCATTTAGGATCTATCACACACCAAGGGCCACACTCAGGGGAAACCACTTACGTACGTGCATAGACTACAGTGTGAGACGTGCTCAACATGTTCCCTGCTATGCCTTCATTGCCGGACAGAACCACAATAATTTAAAAAGAAAACATATTATTGTTTATGTGTGGTAAACATTTTTGTGTATTTCTCAGAATAAGTATGGAAAGGCATTGTGAAGCTCTGCGTGGTAAAAAAGCAAAAGCATGGTCTTGAGGCTGGACACTAAAGAGACTTTGATTGAAAATATGAATTTAGTTTAGGGAGCCTCCTTTATTCTCACCAAAACGTGGTTTAAGGGAGCCTCCTTTATTCTCACGCCAAAAACGTGGGGGAGGGGTGGGGGGGGGTTTGCGCTGGTTTAAGCCATCACCACCAACTAAATAACCAGAACACCAAAGGCTAACGTGATAACAAAGTTCAGTGTGATCCCAGTGATTACTGTGAGAAGATATTACATATCTACACTTAGAAAAACACATCCAAATCCTTCCAACAGTATTAAAAATATACAAATAAAAATACAAGTACTCTCTGACACCAGGTAGGTAGTTTTCTGTTGACATGAAATCAGTGAGGACTAAAAAGATAAATATTTTTCACATCTTCTTCTTGCTTGAATGTTTTGAAGAGAAAAAAATGTGTATATGAAAAGAAACCAAAAATGGTCCATTTTGCAATATTATCCTTCAGTAATTAGTAACATTGTGATAATACATTTTTGTTTTTCAGCTAAAAACGCTTCAGCTTCTCTAGTAAGGAAGAAAGAGCCAGTGTTGAAACAATAGTATAATATAATTCTTGTTTTCAGACATCATACATTATGCACAGATAATAAAAACATTAACAGTGATCAAGTGTTTTTCCACTAGAGAAATTATTCCTCGGTTTTAGTCTGGAACATTAAGAGCTCAGGAAAAGTCTGGAGATTTATCATAACCAGATTAACATAGCGGGTTATCAGTCATCGTGAGAAATGCCTCCACATGTCAGAACCTAATTACTGACAGTTCAACAGAGAGACAGAGAGAGGACGTGACATACATGTTTGAAACATCCCATAATGCAACTGTGAGGCCTGGGAGTGGCAGGAGTTGAATTGGTGACTGCGGTACAAAGACACAGAGTGATCAATGGGACGAGGGCACAGCAGTGTGTGCAGGTAGCATCTGAGTTCTTAGTGTTCTCCAAACGTTGACCCATCAGAAGCCTCACTTCAGTGTGGTAGTAACAACACCTGTGACTCTGCTCGGAGCATTAGGCCCTGTCAGGTAAGAGTAACAGTCGTTCATTGTCATTCATGGTCATGCCAGCTGAGCGCCTTTCTGGCACCCATGCGGGAGGACTGGCAGAGGAAAAGGGACATCTGGCTTCTTTGAACCTATTGAAGCAGAGCCTGGGCTCAGAGCAGGACAGTCAGGGGACGAGGACGCTCACTTGACATGTTCAGCACTGTGGGAGGAGCAGTAGTATTTCTTATGAGCTATGAACGTGGACAGGCTGCTGAACTTGATGTTGCAGAGCCGACAGAAGCGGGAGTTACCGTTCAGGACAGGGGAGATCACTGTGCTTTTGTGGGTAGAGATAAGAGCAGGCTGGGGGGTGGGGTCGGGATGGGAGGCTGTGTTCGGGACAGCCTTGTCTGGAAGGAGGGAAGCCCCCTCAGTCTCCCTGAGGACCTCAGGCACAGGGGTCACAGTCAGAGAGGGAGCCCTTTGGGGAGGAACAGGCAGGGGGGAGCCAGCCAAAGGTGACCCCCCCCCAGCTGAAGGGCTGCCGTTTGCCAGGGGGGAAGCCGGTGAAGCTGAACCACTCCTTGTCTGCCCATTGAGGCTCTCTCTGTGGACTCGCAGTCTGGGCTGGCTGATCTGGAGGGTGGAGGTGGTCGCAGCTCCATCCCTGGGACTGAGGCTGGGGCTACGGCTCACTGCACCACCTGGCTGGGGGGGCTGAATGCTTACTAGCATGCCGTGGGTAGTCTTGAAGTGCTCCATCAGGTCACAGGGGACGAGCCTGTTAGGGCAGTAGGGGCAGACCACCTGAGAGGCACCGAGGCCTTTGGCTCCGGCTCCTGGGATGTCTGCCAGTGTGGTGGCTGTATGGAGAGGAGACGTGGCATCAGAGGCGGGTAAGGCGGAGGGGTGAGGACTGGACGATGTGCTTTGAGCAAGGGCAACCCACTCAGCTGGCAGAGCTTTAGCCTCTATAGGGTGCAGAAGTTCTGGGCGCTCCTGCTGAGGCCTGCTTTTGGGAGAGGTAGAGGCCGATCTCTTGAGCCTATGAAGCTGCTCCAGGGTGTGAGGCTGCAGGGTGGTGGCAGGACAGTAGTAGGTCTTATGAGCCAGGTAGTTCTCAATGCTGTTGAAGCTGATACTGCATGCAGTGCACTTGTGGTAGTCAGTGAGTGGCAGGGAGGGGAGAACACTGCTGCTGCTGTTTGGTGGAACCTCTCTCAGACGGGGCCTCTTGCTGAGGTCAATCGGGCCATCTCCTTCAGGGCTGGAGCTGCCTGCCCCGCTGGGAGAACCTTCCTCTTTCACTGCCAAGCCCAGAACAGAGGCAGACGGAGCCGAGGCAGCCGCGGACGCAGCGGCAGCAGCAGCAGCAGCGTTGGCTAAGGCTTCAGTTCTGGCCATGTGAATCTCATACATCTTCTTTCTCTTGCGTGTCCTGATGGGTTGGGGAAGGAAAGGCGTTGTGGTTGTTCCCTTGGCCATGTGTAGGGACCGGTGGTTGGATGGGTCATGGCGGGAGGCGCAGTAGAAGCGCTTGTGAACGGTGTAGTTCTCATGACGACTAAAGCGGATGTTGCAGGCTCCGCAGAATGTTCTGTTAGGATCGTCTTCTTGTTCTTCTGCAAAACCACTTGCAGGACTCTGGCTGCCTTCGCTTGCTCTTCCTCCTCCACCTCCTCCCACACTTCCACCTCCACCTTCCCCTTCTGAAGAGGATGATAGTCCTTCCTTTCCTGTAGGGGTTTCTGTCTTCACTTCCACGACCCTCCCAGATTCTGTTGCTCCACTGCCTGCAGGAGGGTCAGAGTCAGAGGGAGAAGCAGAGGCGGCCCTACTTGCTGCTCCGCCCTGAGGTGATGCTGACGTGCCATGGGCCCCACTGGAAGGGAGTGTCGCTGGCGCTGCATCTCTAGTTGCCCCAGGGTCTGAAGCTGAGGTTGCACCTTCTCCATGATGCCTACTGGAGCAGTACAGCCTCTTATGTGCATAAAAGTTGTTGATGTTGTTGAAGGTGATATCGCACTGAAAGCAGGTGGCTCCTTTGTGAGGAGGAGTGGCTGTGGCTGTAGGTGCAGTTGGTCCAGAGGGTAGGAATGCAGCCGGGTTGTTCTGAGGAACTGTCTGGCCCTGCTTCAGACGGCTGTGGACCATCTCTGACATTTTAGCCAGTATCTCTGAGGCCTGAGGCAGGATGGCGGCTTCAGGATTAAACATGTACTGAGACAAGAACATTGCTCCTCCGGGAAGAACTGAGCCTGTACCACTGACATGTGCGGGGCTAGAACCAGGGGTGGGACTAGTCGGTTCTGCCTTTACAGTTCCAGTGGCCAGACTTTTTGGAGAGGTGGATGTCTGGAAGGAGGATGTTTGCTTCTTGTTTGTCTTCCTTGTTGCTTCTTGATCTCCTGCCTCTTCACCCAGCTCCTCATCTTCTCCAGCCTCCCTAATCTCCATTTGCTGCTCTTCTGTCTCCAAGTCCGAAGGAGGCTCCTCTTTGATCTTTACATCAATAGGACTGTAGTCTCGAGGCGTGGCGGAGCCTCCGTTTGCACCAGGACTGACCGATTCTGGCGTAGGGACACAGGCCAGGGACTCCCTGTCCTGGGGAGACTGCTGGAGGTGGGGGTTGTCAACTGAAGATGGGGTGCTTTGGCAGGGGGTGGGGCTCCTTTCGACTGGGACCCTAACCTCTAGGTGGGTTCGCACATGCTGCTGAAGCTGGGCAGGTGAGTCAGAGTTCTGGCCACACACTTGACACTTCAGCACCACACCAGAGTCTCCTGGACTGAGACCTGAAGACAGTAAAAAAAAGCAAACTATAACAGTAGCATACATTTGAAGGGATCTAGAAAAGCATCAGTTATATCAATGAGCCAATAATTGATCCACAATCTGGAAAAGTAGCCACATTTAGTCACATTGATGGTATGTCTTACCAGTGGACAGCGGGAGCTTGGGTAGGCCGGGACCTGGGGAGTAGACCTCACTGTGAGACCCCGGCTGGCAAACCATGTGGCTGGTGACCAGATGGCTGTAAAGGATGTCCCTTGTTGTGGAGACAAAGCCACAGCCATGACACACCCCGTTCAGTGTGTCAGTGTGGACCTTAAGGTGGCGCTCACAGTTCGCTTTAGTGGTGAAGGCTGACAGACAGATGAGACAGACAAATGGACGCTCACCTGTTAAAAGACAGAGGGACACATTATGAGCCAATCTTCCACACGATGTGATAAACATTAAGGCACATTGGTCAAGCATCTACAAGTTAGGTCGTTGGGCGTGGAGAGACAGTAGGTCTGGCACTCACCACTGTGTGTGCGCATGTGGATCTCAAGTGAGCTGGCACTGGGGCAGCTCTTGTTGCACTGTGGGAAGGGGCAGATGCGCTCGTTGGGGTAGGACTCCTTGGGTTTGTCCTGTGGCGGAGACGAGGCTGCAGCAGGCTGCTTCTGCCGGCTGGCACAGTAATACATGAGGTGGGCCTGCAGGTTCCTCTCACTGCGGTACCAGATCCCACAGTCCTTGCATGGGAAGATGTCCTCTGATAGATGGATAGAAGATACATTTAGAGTTAGATGACTTAAAATGTTTCACAAATTAGTGACTCAAGTACCTTTAACTGTAAAATCTCAGAAACCATTTCCAAAAGTCAATCTACAGCTCTTATAGATGAAGCAATCACTCATGTTGGACACACACACACACACACACACACACACACACACACACACACACACACACACACACACACACACACACACACACACACACACACACACACACACACACACACAGTAAGGGCATTGACAATAATCATCATATTTCAGCTGAGCTGAAGAGTTGCAATGCCATCTTGTGGCCAAAGAGATCATTGCAGCCAGAAGACAGATGCTGAAATACAGATTTATGCCATGATGGCTTTCCGGTACCAACTTATATTGCAGCTATCGCAAAAACATTGCCTGGATAAAGGTTGTTGGGCTGACAAGACAAAACAAGTATAGCATAAAGGCTAGAAGGGAAACTGTATTGCATGTAATACTTATAGGCCATACAGTCTCTCATATTTACTCTACAGTACATGTTAAATACAGATTCTTAAGGATATATCTTTCTTAAAGAAACCTTAATATCACTTTGTATCGTTTGAATGATTTAAATTCCAAACTATCTTATTCTAATGGATAGTTTCCCTAGCCAGATTAGAAGCTAGTTGTTGTATATAGTAGATATAACATATACTTTATTGAAGAAAATAGCTGTACTGCTAACGAATAAACAGACTTTGATTTATATATATTACTCACTGTTGACAATGGCAGTAGCCAAGATGGCGGCCATGCCAGCCTGCTGTGGGAGGAGCTGGATCTCTGAGCGCAGAGCTGGGGGGTACAGAGAGTCCTCCGTCCCCACAGGGGGCTTCTGGGTGACGAGGCTGAGTGGAGGAGATAGCTGGGCCTGGGGGGGGGAGGAGCAGGAGCCCACAGGTGGGGACAGGGCCGCCAGGAGCCTTTCACCAGCTGCAAGCTCCCTGGTCACCTTACAGAACAATTCTTCACCTGAAACACAGAAGCTCAGGTCACCACAGGAAGCTAACAAAAAAACACAGAGTTTTTTTTTTTTTCATGCAAGTTAATATTCACTAAATGTATTCCATTTGGGGGTAGTGTTGTCTGGAGGCAACAACATTTTGACTAGTGGTGGTAGGAACATAGAAAAGGTGGAACTACTCTCATTGAAGTCAACAATAGCAAAGCCCTGGGACTGACCCACCTCTCAGTGTCAGGGGTCAATGTCCCTGTCCTGTTCAAGCCGGAAAGCCTGTTCAATAGCTGCTTAGTGATGAGGGTCATCTACTCAGGAAACTGCTAACCTGTTACTTCAACCACTCACTTGACATTTAAAATGAGTAATAAAACATTTGATAAATGGTTTCTAGCATTTATGTTGGCGTAGAGATTTACTTGGATATGATATAAAACTTAGAAAGCAGGAAATCTCCATATTTGAGATTCTGATAAAAAACATTTTCTGCCATTATTGCTTAAATACTTACTTGCAATCAATACATTGATTATCAAAATTGTTGTAGACTTTTTTTCTGTAAATTGACGGATCGCATAGTCGACTAAAATGTGCAGCTCTACTTAAATATGCTTAATAGAGAAGTAACAGTACAATGTAAGGGGGAAAATGTTTTAGAACAATGAGTTTGAGCCAGTGGGCAGTCAACAGGAAACATCAGGTGGACATGCTGTTGCTACACTGGAACACTCACGTTGGCTGTAGATGGTGCAGTTGGCAGATGAGAGGTCAGAGGTCAGAGGGAGCAGACTCATCCAACAGTCTGGATCCTCACACACCAGAGAAAACCTAGAGTTCTGGAAACACACACACAGAACGGATGGGTTAGACTAATCACACATTGTATATAATGACGCACCCCCACAGGGAGAATGAAGGACCCCTGCTTAGTTTAAGAATGAACATATAATAATCAAAGAGTTTTTTTTATTACAAAGATTGACATGAATTTACCAACAATGTTGCTTGTGACTATTAGTGCCAAAACAATTAGCTAATCTATATTTAATTGAAATAAAAAAAAGGTTCATGTTCTCCTAGCAAGCTTCTCCTTCGTATCTCTGCATTTTGGACTGCTGGTCAGACAAAAAACTATTTATAGATGCATCCTTAAACTCTGGCCGATGTGTCTTTTTAGACTATCTCTTGATTTTAAAAACAAACAACAGGAGTAAATGATATTCTTTAGGGATGCACCGAATATTCGGCCGCTGAAAATTATCGGCCGAAAATGGTTAAAAAGGCTCTTTCGGCTTTCGGCCGAAAGGGTTTTAGCACCGAAAAAATATCACCGAATGTCAGTTAACAGGGTTACGTTGGTAAGCTAACGTGTTGTTGTGATGACGTAATCAAAACGCGGCGACAAGCACGGCGCGCGACCATGCTCGCGGCTGGCTCACAGCCAACATGTCTGCCGCTTGGAGATATTTAAAATATCAGAGAAAGAGGCGCGGATTGCGATTTGTAAAACGTGTTCAGCTGACATTTCTCGAGGGGGTGTAACTGCAAAGACTTTCACCACTTCGGGATTACTCCACCACTTGAAATCAAAACACCCGGACAAATATGCGGAGTAAGATCAAATCACAAGCACTGACAGCGAGAGACTGTTCAGCGCTGCCTCTCATGTGCTTGATGAGAAGAGGGACAGACTTATGGCTGATAAAGCAGAGAAGCTACTGTTCATTAAAAAGAACCTCCCACTTTTCCTTAATAAGTAGACAAGGCTGGTTTATCATAAGCTTATCTATTTCTACATGTCTACTCTATATCCACTTTCCTGAACCATTTTCATTGTGAGTTATAATTCACCATCTCAGGTTATCATTAGGGGGAAATGACAGCAGCACAGTGTTCAATATATTGTACTT